TCATAATTTTGAAACTCATTCAATACCGAATCATACCATTTCTTCAAGAACAGAATTTAGCAAGTTGTTATTTTTTTCCAAATAAGCAAAGTACTGAGTATATTTGTGCATGCTTTCTATAAATTATGTTTGAATCTATGAAGGCGGTCATGTTTTACAGATTATGGTTTTTGCCAGCGGCCGGAAAACCGTATATTAAAAAGCGAACATCCTGAAGCGATTGGTTTATTATAGAATTCTGCTGCATGGTGATTATTACTACAACACTCCCTAAGTAATTCATTCGAGTTGAAAACCCATCTCAGGATTTCAGTTAGCATTTTATGAGTCAGCACATCCATTATGTATATTACTCCAATCGTATGCTCAAATCGTAAACGGCGAACGTTAATACGTCAGTAGACTGCAGTTATTAGAATGCGAATGGGAAAAAATACATATAGCTTTCTGCAAAAAGCAAATAAGAAATGACCAATATTTGCAATTTCAAAGTATCAGTACAAATTTTAAGCAAATACCCCATAGAGTAATACGGATAATTTTATACTGATTTAACAGCAACGTTTACCGACAAAAAGCACCGCAACCCTTCCCCGGTTGATTGTTTTGGAAATATAAAATATTTCGAAAATGCCGAATTGTATTTCCGGATAAGGGTATTGCATACTAACAGCAAAAGTACTAGCCGAAAGTCCATACACGCGTGTCTCGCAGATATTCTGCCGCTGCATGACACAGCTTCGAGTAGTTCGGATCGTTAGTGGGTCTCGCAGCATTCTCTGTCTGTTTTCTGGTAGATATCCCAATTTAGAATTTGTAGCCTTTTAATTTCCTTAGAAGTTGACTGCGAACTTGGAGTAGAACCATATATATCAGATCTATAGGTATTTTTAGAGATAAGCCAACTAACGCATGAAACGTGGTGCCGTGTACCCAGATAAATATCAAAATCTTTACTAATGGCACTCACCGTACAACTTGAACGGAAACAATGTAGGGAAAATAGCGACATCGGTTGTCCATCAACACCCATTAAGACCTGGAGAACGTTTTGCAGAGCAAAATATTTAATTGATGCAATTGCATTAGATCGCTTTAAAGAAACTGGGATCCTGATAGTAATCGGTGAGCGACGTCTGCAACCAGTCTATTGAGGTCTGTTTAATGATTACTGAGTACTCTTAGTTTGGGTACAGTTCAAAACTATAGTTAATGATGATCGTGTCTAAATCCGTGTAATCACATTTTCAGGTCGAACACGATACTTATAATGACGATCTGATAGCCCTGCAGAGTCCTTAGAAATCAGCCGTCTAAGAGGCTTGGACGGATAGTAGTAAAAACTACTATAGAGATCAATCTTCATACAGCTGGACGCGCCTGAAAACAAATTAAAGCAAAACTGAATGGTAATTCTCATCTCAGATGGAGTTTATGACGGCAGTAGAACCAACGGTCATTGTTTTGAGGACCTGTGTACTCTGCGCGCATAGTCTAAGCTATTATGTCTGAATTATCGCTTTTTTTCAAAACATGGCGACTTTCCCTCCTTACGTCTCCCATATCCGCAGACTTCAAACAACTTATTGCCCCGCCTGCCCTGAACCTTCAAACATAAGCTACTTTCCTCACCAAACGCATATTAGATCCTTTAGTTGCCCACTAACTTGGTTTATCCATCACGGATTCGGTGGTAAGCATCTGTTTAGATGAAACCCTTGCGTACATTGTCAGGCGGAGAAATATTTCATCCCAAAAAGCCCCCTGACAACGGGGAATGAAGAGTTTAGCGGCTAGTGTGGTAGGCAAATGTAAAACGTCACTACCACCAAGTGAAAGTTCTGTTAAACAGAAGAAGAAGATGAAGGACACAAGAATTAGGACTCGGAGCTACGGTCTCAGGTGACTTTAACAAAGTTACACGTTGTCCACTATAGTCCCTCGCGCGTAATGCCGACGTGTGCTTGGTATGGATGTGACCATGCTTGACGGGGTCGGCCCCGATGATGTCCCAAATTGTACCTCTCCAAGCGTGACGATCTTTGAGATTTCGCACTTATTTGTTCTCCGTCGCTTTGTTCGAATGCTTTTCTGTCGGCTTTACGCTCCTGCGACCGTACGAAGCTTGTCACTTGCCTCGCGAGAACACGAAACCAAATAATGCTGCCCTTACCTGATTGGTTGGCGGACAGTTACTGACACAGAGCGAATGCGTACAAATGCGCTGGGGCTTATAACCTCCACGCGGACATTGGACAAGAACGTGCCTGGAGAGACAGCTTGTGGCAACTACTTGAAGGGCCTCTTGTACGCTTTTCCTTAGCATTAAATATCGTTCAATCCAATCTGTCCTCTCTACTTTAGGAAGCTTCCTTGCCAACCATACAGTCTCGACATATACGCGGCAGTAGTTTTGGAGAGCTCGATCCACTCTCTTCTCCAGCGACGTAGACAGAGTACAGACTTTCACTTCCAACCGAACAGCCCAGCTTGCCTACTATTCACCCGGTACCCCGGACAAGGGTTGTCGTACGCGTCTGTTTTCGTGCATGCAGTAGCATGGATCGCAGTACCTGATTCGAGCATTTCCTGGGGTTTCATGGGAATCCAGATCACTGATGGACCCTCTTTAGCCATTCGAGTTGAGGTTGTTCACCCTACCTACTTGCCTCAAGAACCTGATCACGCAAGGCAACAGTGGCAAAGAAATTGACTTACTGACTGCTCGTAGTCGCCAAGTCACGGTACCGTCTTCGGACTTTGCGGTAATGTATAAGGCGGTCAGCGTCCTAGACCTCAACCCTCTGCTCTCTGATAGCACTGTTGTTGCTGGTCCGGGACTGTTTAATGCGCCAAACCCCTGAGCTAGCATATTTATGGCTAAACTTCGTTGTCATTCGGCTATCTTTCCGCCACTTGTGGAATCACCAAATTGGCAGCAGTCATACATACATGAAATGTCACTCCAGATGAAGAAAAAATTCTTTGACTCTAAAAGACTATGAAAGTAAGTTTGTAATATTAGTCACCGTGCAGCATAATCCTATGATACTTCAGTTTCTCTTTGTGTGGATTTCTTAGTGGTCAACTAAAACACGTACATCCTGTATAAAAGGCCACTTCCCCTTGATTTCCGATGTCCGTATAAACTGAAATGAACCTCATACAAAGCATGCATGATAACGTTTATTCTTTTATCCATCTGGTCGACAGTTACGTCTTCCTCACATTTTATGCATGGAGAAGGGGTTTGATTCGGTTTCAAGAGACTTTGCAATTCCCGCATCATTTTGAACCCCACACACCGTAGCACTTGCATCCAGTTTTTCAAAACTGCAAGCTATGTAAATTCCGTATACGGAAAATTATACATTTTATACGCTATTGAGAGGCGGTCATGTGGGGCTGACACAATTTTGCGGTGGACTTGAGCCATATTGCAAAATTAACAGGCAATAGTAGTAAATGCAGAAACGCGATGCCTTATGAACAGGCAATTTACAGTCTTAAAAACTTCCACAATCAAAAACTTTTAAAAACCGAATTCAATCTTTTTCTAACAGAAACAGAGATAATGATGCAATTTTCTACCAAATGGATAAAAAAAGTGAACGTTGTTACGCATTTTTATGGAATATTTTTCAGTTTATAAAGACAATGACAATCACTACGAAATATTTGAACTATTTAAGTAGTCATTTTCCGAGAGTATGGTTCCTATAACAGATCAGAGAGAAGTTCGTAGGTAAGTCGACATCCCGAATAAGCCGAAATATTATTTGATTATACTGCACGTTGATTAATACAACACACTTACTTAAACAATATTTTAAAGTCGAAAACTTATTTCCGAATCTGAGCCAACACGTCATGAGTTAGCACATCTACTGTATGTATGGTACTGACTAATGTTGAGGGTTTCTGGATACAGTAACGCGTTCTCTAGCAAACGGTTCTGTTACAACACATGGGACAGGCCAGATTGAGTCTATGTCTGCTAACATTTTTATCTGACAAACGTGCATTTAGAAGGTGCCAAAGGAATTATGACTATGGCATAGAGGAAATGGCGGCAAATACCCTCAATCTGGGAATATTAACCAAATTCGCCGGTCTAACTCCAATACCTGAAACAGTCCCATCAAGTCAACGGTCTTTGCGGCATGTGCTAACAATTCCGCGCGAACTGAAGGTTTCCTGTTTGTGTTTGGACTTGGAAGCCGATTTCTAAATGCAGTTGAGCGAAACACAGCCTACAGCTTGGTGGAAGCCAACAACGTCCATAATCATTCATATCGTGCACAATTTGGAATGGAAAGTTCTGCCTTGCCTATAGGCCTACATTAGGAGCTGGTAAGCATGTTGAGTGAAAAGACCGTTTATTTGCTGATTACATACCCTCTGAATGGGCGAATACTGTCCCTGACTAGGGAGAAAAAATACTTACCCCACCTTGGCAAGCGTACTGCACATGAAAAGTGGTGTTGACTATATAATACAACTCTCCCATTTCTGAATGCAAACGAAAAGTTTGACGAAGTACGCTTAGACAAGAAATTAGGTATATTCACATTTGCAAATTGAATCCTGTGTTTTTGGCGCTGTTATTTTCAGTGGATATTTTGTGTGGGGAACACGAACGTGTTTATTCATTCGAGATTCTTGCGACAAGGTAAATTGCGCAACGAGTATGAAAAAATTAAAGTGACCTTTTTACATCATATTTTATATTTTTAAACCCACAGCAAGTCATATTATCAAGCATCCGGTAGCCACGAATTCCCATCGTCCTCCTTGATTCGCTGATGTCATTGTAAGGCCTTGCGTAATTTTCCACATTCGGTCAACCTGGTCCGCGTCAAGCTGCTTCCGATATAATCAATTAAATGCGTTTTAATTTCATTTGGTAGCCAGGACAGGGATTTAGGTTGGAATACAATAGGCCCCTCAATTAAAATCCTCATAGAGTTCGACAGACTTATAACCGAACCTCCCGACATTTACCAGTAAGTAACGTCAGTCTCAATAAAAGGATCATAAATCTCGATAATCGTTTTCCTCACCCCTTTATTGGGAATCTGAAAGGGAGTTTACAAATTGAGTAGTCTGAATTACCTCACAGGAAACGTTCATAATGGCGTAGGCAATAATCAAAACGCAGGCCAGTGTATAAGAATTAGTTGACTCGACAACATCTGTGCTAATGCATGCACTGTCATCACTGAAGTGCACCTTCTCAAAACCACGGACGCATGCGAATTCACGGACCTCCGTCATGCTTCTTGGTATTTCAAGAAGTGACGCAATGAGCCAGTTCACGTTCTTTGTGACCGTTTTCAGTCCATAGTGGGGACATAATAATTGGTCTAAACATGGTTTAGATCATTTGAGAATGAAACAAATCATCTCCTTTGAAGGAGGCGAAGCCTTTTTTGGCCTATTACCTGGTAGATGTTGACAGGGAAAAACATCGCATGGAATGAAACACAGAATATACAGTATCAACTCCACTCTCCATTTTGTAGCCCTCATTGTCTGAGATACGTTTTCGCTTGTCACTTATGTTCCAAAATTGGTTTTAAGTTCAACTCGGAGATGTATCGCAGTTGATACTTTCTAGGATTGAAAGCAGAAAACACATTATTATTTTGATCCGGGATTTGTCAGGTATAATTAAAAGCGTGGGGCAGGAGGAACTTCCTTTCTCGTCGCACAGACAATAAGTAAAGTTTAGAGTCAGAAACTCCCAGAGAGTGCATAAGATCTAAAGCGCACCGCTAATGTTAACAAATAAAGCAGATTATATCATTTTCACGGACTCAAGGCCCATGCCAATAACGGAAAAATCAAGTCGATCTGAAAAAAACAAAAAAGCAGAAACATATATAAATTTAATAATGACTAATGGTCAAAATTTCATTACATAGAGAGGTTAGAAAAGCCGACGTTATCGGTAAAATGAGCCGGCTGTCGTAACCGCAGAGGTTTTCTTTAAAGCAGACACTCAGTACTTCACAAGTGAACTTTTCATATTACAAATGCCCCTCCGCTCTTATTTTCACCAAAGCCGATATTCATTGGCTATTGCCTAGCCCATCGTGTGTTCGCTGAACCACCTCTACGGAATTCTTGTTGGTTAGGTTGAGAAACATAGGCAGTTGTAAGCTGCGTTAAATGCGTAGGTGAGCACTTCTACAAATGTAGAACTCCGTTGTCTGAAAAAAATTGACTATTATGACTACTTTCGCGTTAAACGTGTTAACCTCAACTTCATGTCGTGCATTGTCAATGACGCTGTCCTTTGCTGATTTACAATGTTTTATTTTTGTTAACAACAAGCTTTTCTTGCAGAACACTAAAAGGTCACTTAATATCATTGCTCGTTACTTTGCAGACTTAAATAGTCATATTTTACTGTTAATTAGGACATCGAAGAATGACAGATGGTACCGCAGTCTGCATAAACGTGCCGAGTAACTTCTGGAAAGTCTTTCGATCCCAGACTTATTTAAGCCACGTGTGTGTTCTTCCGTAAGGCAGCACTCATAAGATTGCCTGGGTGGTTGTATTTCGTCTTATTATTTGTCCCCTCGCGCGTTCCGCAGTGGCATTAATATACGAAGCAATATGCGCCCTATTTTGTTTTTAATATATATAAAAGACCACCTGAATTGCTTTGATAGCAGTGGCATGGTGAGTGGCTCCTTGGCCTCAACTTTAATAACGCAAAGTTATTCTATTACGATCTGGCAATAGGAGGATGATAAAATTTAAATAGCACTACTTCATCCGGGTCGCCAATTAAAATGAGCTAACGAGTTAAGGGACCTCAGCGTGTGGATGATGTCTACTCTCAAACCATGGTCACACTGCGCTAATGTAGCAAAGAAAGCCATCTCTATCTTGCGCGCGGTTAGGAGACCTTCGGCTAATTTCGACGTATAGCTTTTCGGTCGAGTGTTAGAAATACGTGTTCGGCAAAAGTTAGAATGTTGCTTTCGGTCGAGGCGTCTCTTAACGCAACACATTTTCACGCTTTTAGAAAACATATAACGAATAGCAGCCCGTATAATCGTCAGATAAAAATGCCTGCCGTATAAAAGAGGACTGGAAAGACTAAAAGTATTTAATTCCTCTTATCGCAAATACAGAGAGGATATGATAGTACCCTTAGAATTGCCACAGGGGTAGACTATGCTTTAAAGTTCGATGGATTTTTTGGACTGGCATGAAAGACTACTGATCGAGGCTATAGAAATAAAACAAACCGAACTCATGGCCTTCCTCTAGCGTGGGAATGGCGACTTGAGATAGTGGGTCGCCTTTTCGAACGGCCCGTTTTTGCTCATGTATTTGTGAGCTGAGACATCGTCTTGTTTGGCCTGTGTAGTAGCAAGGACAGTTACGGCACGGGATTTGATAGACTGTACCCGACTGCTCATCTGCGTCCAGCCGATCCTTTATTTTCATGATCCTCTTACGAATGGCAGCCGCCGGATGATAGGCGATGCCCACGCCTAGCTCTGACGCAATGTGTTCTGTAGTCTCGGACACATTCTTTTTGTACGACAGGCTGTGCCAAATTGTTGATGTCTCTCTTCCGTTTGTCCGTCGTGGGCGCGTGCGTATGCAGCGGCTGATGGAAAACTTCGAGTATCCGTTCTTTGTTAATTGGTCCCGGATATGCCGTAGTTCTAGCATCCTTCCACTGGGCTCGCTACGATGCGTTTTTAACCGGTCGAAAAGCGTCCTCACACAGCCCCGTTTGTACACCAATGGATGGTTGTTATGATAGATGAGGACTTGGGTTATATTGGTCGTTGTTTTGGTCACTGTACTGCTGAGTTTACCATCAGGTGCGCGTGTCAAGCACGTCAGCGAAGGGCAGTTTCTCGGCCTTCTTGTCTTCGCTTATAAACTGAATGTTGGGGAAGTTGCTGCCAAGCAATTCTTGAAAACCCGATAGCCTATCCTTTTCAGCAATGACGAATGTATCGTCCACGTATCGGCGCCAAAACGCAGGTTTGTAGTGGCTGAAGGCAACGATTTCCAGCGATTGTGGAACCGATTTCGCAATTAAGATGGATACTGGGGAACCTATTGGAGTTCCTTTGATTTTTTCGGGTGTTCTGCCATCGAGGATGAAAAAGGTTCGTTGGCAGAATGCAAAGAGCTGCATTAGGTGCTGGATCTTTATGGGCCCTGTCGTTTCGTTGTAGCATTCTTCGAGCCGTTTGCATAGTACGTCGTGCGCCAAGTCTGGTGGGATGGACGTGATCGTGCCTTCTTTTCTTTTAAACAAGAACCTATGATGCGCATATTCTGTTTCATACAATCTGATGTCATTGGAATACATATGCGGGCACATATCGGACTATTCATCCCGATAATTAGAGCAATGCATGCCCAGATAATTTTCTATTGCTCCACAGAAGCTAAATGAGGTGGAATGTTAACGGAAATTGCGAATTATGCTTTTGCTTAGAGAGAAGTCATTGGATGCAATCGTCATAAGGATTTTATGAGGTATAATACTAAGTTTTTGTCATCCTTATAAATTGAAGTGTAGGGAAAATGTACCATCACACAAAATGTCGACCGAAATTTGGAAATACGTCTTCAAATAAAAGTGTTACTTAAATAAGATTACTTGATTTAATATCGTTTCACATGGTCCTGAGCTATCCAACCCACATTGGGATGCCGATCTTTGAACGAGCTTTTTTGTCGCATGCAGAAATTACACTTAACAGGAAATGGCTACTTACGTGATATACATTCTTCCTGTTCAGTTGCAAAAAAGTGCATAAGTGACAAGCACTAATACTTATCCTTTGAAAAAAATGAAAGAATAACACGTCTGTTTTTTTAATCTGCTACCTCTAGGAACAGTATCATTCGATTTTAAAACTTGTTTGCGACTCCCCATTCATTTTGAATCCGAACTGGTCCTTAACTTGAATTGAGCGCTTTTAACCTACTAGCTCTATAATTAACATGTAAGAATATCCTTTATCACTGAAAGCCACTAAGTGGATATCATGGAGAATTCATGCAATTAGGCAATGGGTAAGGCAAATCTTTATCTAATAAACAGCGTTAATAAAACCATAACATAGAAAAGGTCGATTTTTGCTTAAAACGGTTACTACGAACATAGTATTTTTTATTAACAACATTTGTTGCATTTGGCTATAGGACTTATAAACCGCACACTGTGCATGTTCCATGTAAGCAAAACTACATATTCCGCTGCACTATAACAAGATGCCAATTAGGTATCATTCAATTTCGTAGTAAATGTTGACTATCGACAAAAAACCAAATTTCGAGTCCCAGGAACTCGCACATAAGCTGTAGAAGCAATCGATGGAACAAAAGCTTTATTTGCCTGGCGTTCCGAATTTTAGCCCGAACCCTTTATCAGAGACAATGACATATATAGGTGATTTGTGCATAGGAAGTTATGCTTATTATATGATGCAGTCGCTATGCTTCCTATGATAATTATCCGCTCTCTGCATCATCAAAGATTTTTGCATTTGGCGCGCTAATGGCTTGACAATCGGCATGCAAGTTGTTAATTGCTGAAATCTCATCCCCAGTGTGATGATTCCCCTGTCTTCTGCATCAACGACCTGCGCACTCCCCGAGTTATTAATTACTTCGGCCGGACCATGTCTCACTATCGAATTTGGAGTGAGATGTCATGGTATCTTTTATAGACTGGGGTTCCGCGGACCTTGACTGAAGCAACTCGCAGTTCTCGCAATTATCACATTTCACGAGAATTTCGGCCTCACCGAACATGAATATGCGGCAGGGTCTCGTAGAATGCGCCGCGACATTAGGACTCGCGTCATTTCTCCACACTGCTGCCACGTATTTGGTGATTCGCGTCCAGAGCAGTCTTACGCAATTGCTTTGCCCGCAACTGCAGGAAATCCGGTAAGCAACTCCGGATGTTATTTGGTTAAAAAAGCGTTACTTTTTTATACTAAGTCCTGCGCCCATTGTTCCCTCGGCTACGAGCGGTAATACTAGACGCCGTGGAGCGTTGTCTTGTTAGTCTTTACAGGACGATCTGATGTCCTGGTTTTGGTAAATAGAAGGGCGTGAATTTGGGAGTAAATGATAGCTGTACTTAACAACCCTCTTTCAAGTGAAAAATCCTTCAGATTCTACGAAAAGTTAATTTTCAGGAATCCAAAAACACATTCTCTCCTCTTAAGCATGTTCTGCAAACGATTCCCAATTAGATGAGTATAAATGTGTTT